ATTTAGTGTTGCTTACAGGTTATATACTTTTGGTTTTCCAAGTATGTTTTCTTATGATTAAAAACAATTCTCTAAAATTTTTTATGTATTTTTCATATATGGGTGGTTTTATTTATTTATTGGTATAAATTTAATCAATATTTTAAAAAAATCTAAAGATAAAACGCCACAAGCCAGGTGTAAGGGTTATCTCAAGTGATATACTAAAAATATGGATGTTAATCATATATATAAACACTTACAAATTATATAATTGGTTGATTCTAACTATTAAATAGATTAGTCTTGGATATTCTTCTTCTTCACCTATTAGATAGATTATGAATATTAATGCTGATAATTACCTCTAGTACTATTTCTCAATAATCAAGGGTCTCTTAAGTAAGCTTCTTCATAATTTGCCACAAATGTCCATCCGACGATCATATGTTTGTTCGAATACACTCACAACCTTGGGCCCAGAGTTTCGGTTGTTCCAAGTCCTTCGCCTCGACATTAGGCGTTACCCACAGGCTACGTATTTCAGGATTTCCGGCTAGGGCTCCTTACACCAGGAAATAGTAGAATTTTATAATTTCTAAATAATACAAGCTATAATAGGATGTTTTACCATAAGAAGAACAGATCAAATTACACTTTAGCAAATATTAAAGTAATATTTAAGGATTACACATCATTAAACTTTGATGGAATTATTTATTACTTGTTACCCTCTGCAGAAGAGAATTAACAAAAATGTGACATACAAAAAGGTAAGAATTTTTCGTAATGTATGTTTTATTTTAGTTACAAATGTTCTATATATTATGATTTCTATATTATATATAAAAAAGAAATCTCAAGAACTTTTCTTTTATTTTTTTACTGTTAACTGTAGGATAATTATAATCAAAAGAGTGCCCAACGTCTTGACTACATATAGGTACTAATTCTCAACATGCCACGATTCTAATAACTCTCTTTTTTGTACAAAAAAGACTTTAAAAAGTGTCAAAAATTGATTTATTTGTAAGTTCATGTTATTAATTGCTGAATAAAAATCCAAAACTCAAGAAATTTTTTTCACTGTTTTTTGAAACGTATCTCAGATTTATAAATAATTCTCCTTTTTGTGTTAAATAAGAAAATTTCCAAGCTTGATTTGGATACAAGTATAATTCAATCAGAAAAAAATAATTAATTTTCATAACTCTTAATAACATTTTTTCTATCCTATATCTCCTTTCCTATCAACAAAGGTATACTAAAAACTGACTACCAACCACTAAAACGTGTTCTAAAGGAACTTATTTGACGAATATCATATTAATGTTTGTTTAAGTAACAAAAAAAATAAAAATCCCTTGATATAAATATTTTTATCTACGTCTTAATACTATCTACTCAGTTATTATTAGATGTTAAACAAAGCAAATTATGTTTAATAAATCGAAGGAAACGCCAGTTACTGGAGGGTAGAGAAAGAAAATCATAAGGGGGAAGGACAACAAACAACAGAGTTTATGATATTATGGCCGCTATTTTATTATTGAATCACAAATACTTTGAATACCCATATACTAAATCAATAGAAAACAAAATATTTCTGGGGAAACCAAGAATCTTGGTGACAAACCTGTTAATCTATTAAAACCGACAAGTAGTGGTTTCCAAATCCAGTGACGTTACTGAAAATGATGACCAATTAGATAGGGGATTAAAAAAATCAACTTAGACAAGCCCAATTTTGTTGAATAATAAAAATGCCGCAATATATTCTTCAACACTTATAGAAATGTGAATTCTACGAAAATTCCGTTAAATCATACTGATAAATTATTAATAGTGGATAATCTATGTAAAAATGGAACAATAGATTCATTTAATAGAAAGAGTCAACCTTCTGGATTGCTGATCAGGCTATTCTAATTAGAACCGATATCAGCAATAAGAAAGAAAAATAGTGAAAAAAACATACGATTGTGGGTTATTTTATGTGATATAACTATTGTTATGTAAGCTATTGTATGTATTTTTAAATATTGATTGCAACATAGCGGAGCAATGCTAGTTTATTTTTGTTTATCTATTTGGACATTTCCTTTTTAGTAAATCCCAAAACCTTTTTGTGATTTCCCAATTTTCCATATTTTTTCGCCGACTTATAGTTTTTTCCGCACTTTTTCATTTTTTGCATGAAACAATAGTTCCGTAGTAACATTTTTTCCTCATTGAAAATATTTGTTTCATCTTTTTTTTTTTATTTTTTTTAGTTCTAGTCAGATATTCCTATATAGACAGATGCAGTACTAGTTAATTGTAGATACAAGTTTTGATAAAAAATATTGCATCTCATCATGCTTTGATCAAAACAATGTTTTTTTATTTGATAATTCTACGGGTAATTTTAGGAGAAAGATCAAAATCTCTAGTTTAAAATAACAATGAATCTAGTATTCAGATATATCCGATAAAAGTTTGGTTTACCAAATGTATTTTATGAAAATTCTTGACTCTTCTTGAAACAAGAAAATTGAGGAGAGTAATTACATTATTTCAGAAACAATGCAGTCTTATGTAAAGTATACTAGGAAAAAATAGTCATAAAAAAAGATTTCTCATCTCTCTAAAACTTTTTGTTAAGTCTTTAGATTTGTGCTAAAAAGGAAATTCAAAAGTTTTTAGAAAATAGCCCTGTTTTATGTGTTCCTTTCTACTTAAAATATGTATTTTATGATGTGTTGTTGAGATTTTTATGGTCAAAAATTCCATATTGGAATCGTGTTCTTGCTATTTTATTATAATTACATACTTTTATTTGGTATTCTAATAATATTTTAAAAAATATTCAAACGAAGAATAAAAGAGGGATTTTCATTTTACATTGGTCTGTATCTTTATGTTTTACATATTTTTAAATTTACAGCATACTTTCCCACCAGTATAATATATTACAGTTCCACAATACTATGAAGTTTTTTCTTAATCACTTTGTATTATTAAGTGTATTTTATCTTTAAGAAAATTTCAAAGAAGAACTCAGAAAAATCTTACCAGGTAAAGAAACCCAAAAAAAAAAATAATATTAATCTTGCACCTTATTTTTTCCTAAACAGAGACTATTAAAGCTAACATCCCTGAAAAATCATAATACTCCTATGTTATTTTCCGATAATATGTGCACGCAAAAAATTTAAAGACATATATAAAATATTTTAGAATTATTACTACTCATACTATTATTACTAAACAAGTATGCCCTTATGTTGTTAACCGATATCTTTCTTGAAAAAAAGTTAGCAATAAATTCTTCTAAATAACCTCTGTTTTGTAACAATATATGCAAAAGTCTAGACAATTATTTAATATTTTTGTATTAGATATGAGGGGGGTCATGTAAAAGATTTCAGTCCCCATTATTTTATTTCTGGTAAAAAAAAGCTTGTCCTATTTACAATGTATAAAAAAAAGATAAAACTTTAAAACCCTATCAATTATGAAATGCGTAAGATCTGGACAGTAAAGCCTAAATAAATGAACTACACTAAGAATATACACAAAACCTACTCAGCTATAATAGAAAAAAGTGATTATTCCAAATTTTCCAGATACAAGTAATAGTTTATAGTTTTTATGGCTGCTTTTTGATAATCATTTTGCTATAAATATTTTGTAGTTTTTAGTAGGATATATATATATCATAAACTAGAGCCTTATGCAATGGATAAGGTGGATATGTTCTCAATTAAAATGCCCCATTTTAGTAAGGTTTGTATATTAAAATATCATTTCTTATGTATAAAATGGGCAATTGATTCATGATGAACAATTTAATAGTGAGGTATGTAAGTTTATGTATATTTTTTATTTTTGATCATAACACATAAGAGCAAAAGAAAAAATGTACACTGCATATCTATCCACTATGCTTGGAAATAGTAACTAAAATTTCCAAGTAAAATACATTTATATTTGCATATGTTGTCACTCTCCACAACAAAAAAAGATTTTAAATGCTTATGTGTAAAGAGGAAAGCACTTAAGGTAATTTTTGTAAACCCTATTTTGTCTTGCTCTAGAATCCAAGTGTTTACCATAATTTTAAATCAAGAGACTTGGTAACCCTACAAATAAAAGAACTATAGTATACACAGATTTTTAATACTGAATAAAAAACAATTTGAAAATAAAAAAACGTTAATATCACCTTAAATGAAAATATCATTGTGGTATGCAGAAGTCAAACAATTTTTTAACAATGTTTTCTGATGGTTTCTGGCACTCCCTCTTTCAATTACATCTATTGAACCTATTGTTTCCATTTATTTTTCAAAAAAAAAAAAAACTGTTTTTCTATCTGAGATCACAAAAAAAAAAAAATCAACAGATTTTTTCATTCATGTTATTGTTACACGTATTGTTTTTTTTATATTTGCTCCGAAAAAACCAGCGGAATTATCTACTATTTTACATAAACAGAGTATGTTTATTGATTTGATCAACAATAGTTGCCTTTATCCGATAATTATAGCATTTGTTTTTTTGTTGGAGATATCATGCATTTCAAAACAACCAATATCTATTTACTAATAAATAATTAATGCCGATAGTTCCTTTTAGTGGTGGCATCATTTCACTGTAATATAGTAAGAATGCAAGATAGTATATGGATCTAACTATTTCTTGTAATAAGCAATATCTCAGATTATATGAATAATAATAGTAATGGTAATAATAGCAATATTAATGAGAATATTTTTATTCAATTTATTGTTTATTATTCTCAAAAATAAGATAAGAACAAAAGGACAGATAGATACTTTATAATCATGAATGCTACCTTGTAACCAACTAATTAAATTTCCTTAATGAAAAAAAACTTAATATAAATACGTTTATGTACAATCATCATTTAAAAATTGACTTCCCATTGATTTACTTTACCTTTAAGATTATTAATATCACGTTTATTACAAAATTTCTTTGATAATAGCAGCAACAAACTACCAAACCCAGTGAAAATGATAAGTTCCTTTAAAGGTTTTTTGGTACCTTTAATATTTTTACTCATCTTCACAGATGCTGTAATAATCTCTGATAACACTTATTTAGATGATATTTCTTTCTCTTCCCCCCTTACTGTCGATAAGGATTATTTTTTGGCATTGGTAAACGGTAACTCTTATAGTTTCAGCAAAGAATTGCTCGTGAACGGTTCACTTTTCGTTGGTGATATAAACTCATATGGTAACGGATTTAGCACTACGTTCGATGGCTTAACTATTACAAACAACGGTTTGATTGTGGTGGATAGCAGAAATCTTACAACTGGTTCAATGATTGTCTCGTGGGGTGGTTCTTCAATCACTAATAATGGGAGAATGTATTTCAATGGTTTGAATAGCAGTGCTAATAGTTTCACATTAAACCCAAGTATATCCTTAACAAACACCGGTTTAATGTCTTTTGGTCAGGATTCTACTTCAGATTATAGTAGTGTTGTACACCTTAAGTCTGGATCTTTTGTTAATATTGGTACTATTTGTTTGAAGAATGTTAAGGCATCTTTGGAGAGTTCTATAGCAGGTGACGGTTGCATTACAATAGGTGAAAATTCTGTATATGCTATACCAATACAGTCAAGCTCTGGTACAGTCGGTCCACAAACTATATATATGACCTCTCCTTCCTCAATGCTTTATGTGGGCTCATATGGTAACACGGATAATATCTTTGTTAGAGGTTTCGGTAATGGTAATTATTTGACATTTCGTACCGCAATAGCAGGTTATAATTATGATCCAGATACCGGTATCTTGACAGTTGATGTAGCCACTATTCATAAAATTAATATTGGTATTGGTTATAACCCACATGGATTTTCAATGAAATCTATACATAACCACATTGGTTTTAATTTTATCAATAACGCATTAGTCTATAATGACACTGCCCCACACAGCTTTCCTAGTGCTTGTATGCCATGTGATTCCTCTCCTTGGATACCTATTATGAATTCTTTTTCATCTAGTTCTGCTTCTTTATCCACATATTCAAGCGTATCTTCTGGTTATTCCACTGACTCTACACCATCTAGTTCTTCTTCTTTATCCACATATTCAAGCGTATCTTCTGGTTATTCCACTGACTCTACACCATCTAGTTCTTCTTCTTTATCCACATATTCAAGCGTATCTTCTGGTTATTCCACTGACTCTACACCATCTAGTTCTTCTTCTTTATCCACATATTCAAGCGTATCTTCTGGTTATTCCACTGACTCTACACCATCTAGTTCTTCTTCTTTATCCACATATTCAAGCGTATCTTCTGGTTATTCCACTGACTCTACACCATCTAGTTCTTCTTCTTTATCCACATATTCAAGCGTATCTTCTAGTTATTCCACTGACTCTACACCATCTAGTTCTTCTTCTTTATCCACATATCCAAGCGTATCTTCTAGTTATTCCACTGACTCTACACCATCTACTTTAGGCTCTTCCAGTTTTATTACTTCACCACCATTACCAAAACCAAGTGCTATCACTTCCTACATCCCAGGCATCATAAGCTCTACTTCTGCTCAATCCACAATAACATCTTACACCACTGACGCCAACGGTAGCAGCAGCGAAGTTGACATTGTTGTTGTTGTCACTCCGGTTCAAAGTACTGTCACTGCATACACTGCAGGCTCAGTTGGCTCCGCCTCTGCCCTTTCCTCCTACATCTCTTACACCACCGACTCCAACGGTAGTACTGAGGCCATTGGTGTTGTTGTAGTCGAGACCCCAACTGTCAACCAAATCACCTCCTACATCCCAGGCATCATAAGCTCTGCTTCTGCTCAATCCACAATAACATCTTACACCACTGACGCCAACGGCAGCAGCAGCGAAGTTGACATTGTTGTTGTTGTCACTCCGGTTCAAAGTACTGTCACTGCATACACTGCAGGCTCAGTTGGCTCCGCCTCTGCCCTTTCCTCCTACATCTCTTACACCACCGACTCCAACGGTAGTACCGAGGCCATTGGTGTTGTTGTAGTCGAGACCCCAACTGTCAACCAAATCACCTCCTACATCCCAGGCATCATAAGCTCTGCTTCTGCTCAATCCACAATAACATCTTACACCACTGACGCCAACGGCAGCAGCAGCGAAGTTGACATTGTTGTTGTTGTCACTCCGGTTCAAAGTACTGTCACTGCATACACTGCAGGCTCAGTTGGCTCCGCCTCTGCCCTTTCCTCCTACATCTCTTACACCACCGACTCCAACGGTAGTACCGAGGCCATTGGTGTTGTTGTAGTCGAGACCCCAACTGTCAACCAAATCACCTCCTACATCCCAGGCATCATAAGCTCTGCTTCTGCTCAATCCACAATAACATCTTACACCACTGACGCCAACGGCAGCAGCAGCGAAGTTGACATTGTTGTTGTTGTCACTCCGGTTCAAAGTACTGTCACTGCATACACTGCAGGCTCAGTTGGCTCCGCCTCTGCCCTTTCCTCCTACATCTCTTACACCACCGACTCCAACGGTAGTACCGAGGCCATTGGTGTTGTTGTAGTCGAGACCCCAACTGTCAACCAAATCACCTCCTACATCCCAGGCATCATAAGCTCTGCTTCTGCTCAATCCACAATAACATCTTACACCACTGACGCCAACGGCAGCAGCAGCGAAGTTGACATTGTTGTTGTTGTCACTCCGGTTCAAAGTACTGTCACTGCATACACTGCAGGCTCAGTTGGCTCCGCCTCTGCCCTTTCCTCCTACATCTCTTACACCACCGACTCCAACGGTAGTACTGAGGCCATTGGTGTTGTTATAGTCGAGACTCCAATATATGGAAACTCCACTATTCATGGTGGAGAAACTGGATCTACTTTAACTGGTACTTTAGTTGTTTTGACTACGGTTGTTAATGGAGTCACTATGACCACAACTTATTGTCCAGAACCATCTGAAACTTCTGAAACAAGTATGACTGCTATTATTGGACATAGTTCTATTGAGTCAGTTTATTCAAAGAACCAACAAGAAGAGACCAACTCATTTTCTGCTGTGTCCAATGCAACTCCAGTTACTTCTATTGCTTTTACCACCACTGGCACAGTGTTTATCAACAATGAAAATCAACCAACATCTAGAAACTCCAGAGAATCTACCACTGTTATTGTTGGTTCTACAAGGGGTAACATAGACGTTACTTCGGAAACTAGTACTGTTGAATCCAGAAGACCAGAAACATCTCTAACTACAAAGATGCCACAAGTTTCCCAATTCGTTTCTGAGCAATTCTCGTCATCTCCAACTGCTATGACAGCCTCTCATGTAAGTGCACCTTCTCTTGCATCATATAAGGGTAAGGGTAGCACTATATACATGAAATGGAGTGTTGCCCATCTTGTTGGTCTATTATTATTTATGATTATTTAAATCGAATGCAGGTAAAGAATTCTAAAAGAAATAATTCTAAATAGTTAAACAATTAAATACTACTATCTAAACATATATAATACCCTAATATTATATGTATTGTGTATTTTTTTCTTTGACTCTTGTTTTCCAGTTTTGTTAAATACTTTGGCTATGCTTAATCAATAAATCTTGATTAGCGAACTTACCGTCATACAACTTTGAAATCAACTGATCATATTTTAGAAATATACGTATTTTAAACCCCTTTTAATCAAGAAAAATTGTAATCATGAAAATTTAATGCTAATTTAATTCAAAGATCATAATAAAAGGATTGACACATATCTTAAAAACTATTATAATATTTCTCTACCTATGTTAGTATTCGAGAACTTGACTAGATGAGTGATCATTAAATGCGAAGCAAGAATGTCTTAAATCTTTTTCTTTCTATATTCCCTTATTATTTCCTCTCTTTCCCATATATATACGTACACACGGGGATGAAAATAAATAATATATATATATATATATATGCTAATTTGATAACACTATTGCCCCTTAAGTCAATTAACTACATATATATATGTACATCTACATAAATATGCTAACTCTTATCACTTTCATTTTTGACTAATGATTCCACTTCCACCTCTTTTATTTTTGTAACATCATATTTGACCCTAAATGAAATAAAGTATTGAAAAACTATTATTCTCACACGAATAGTAGAAAGATACCATAAAATTACTCCGACAATATTCAAAGCAATGAAAGTTTTTTTGAATAACACAAAAAAAGTGTAAGAAAATGAGGTGTCAAGATATTTTTCAAATACCCATAATTGCACACTGATGATATATTGTACTTACTATTTATGTTAAGAGCATTATACGTAAATAATTCAGATATGCATTATATTGTAATATAGATACCCTTTGTTCTATAAATATATGGCATCTCTTCTTGTATTTTGCTGGATGTAGAGATTTCAAAGTTTCAAAAGAGACAAGAAAATTTCCCCTCTACACTTGAAAAATATCGTAATAACAATTATCCCAAGATTTTAATAATATGAGAACTTTCTTTTTAAATAAGGAACATGTAACAATATTAGAACATATTCATATTTTTGCAAATGTTAATCCATAGATAAAGTATGTCTTGTTATTTTAAAGTTATAATGGAATTAAATTCTTATTTTTTTTTTTGAATTTCAATAACTTCTCATCATTCTTTGTTGCAGTTAGAGATCCATATACAGTATTAGATATCCAGTCATAATAATGTCAGACTAATTCTTAAAAAAAGTAGATTTTCTGAATAGTAAATTGAAAGATTAACATGTTAATACTCCACCATAGTATATTCTTAAATGTTGTTCAATGTTCAAAGATCGAGATAAAATCTCTTTTTATTACGTTATTTTTCAAACATTAAAATAAGATCATTTGAGTAAAAGATAGAACAAAAATTATTGAACAGGGAAAGTAGTACAGTAGAATAGAATAAAGATATAATCAAAATATTGTTCATTATATCAAATCAATATGTCCTTTTTCATCATTACAATAACCACTAGAAATCAAACATAAATCAAATCCATGTATAATAGATTGGAATTAGTAAGGATAAATATCCTGTAAGATATGAGTAAAAAGATGATATAGTAAATTTGTTTATGGATATAGCATAATTGTATTTATGTTTATAACAGTTATCATTATGTGTTAATTTCAAAAGAGTATTGCATATGATCATAAATTATTATAACAGTATCATTCGATGGATAATGAAGTGATATAGAAGATATAATTATATTTTTCATATTGAAAATATTAGTAAGGGATGGTGTTCATGTGTTATTGGAGTATACTTTAATAGTTATATTCATAATAAAAGTGGTAGTGACACAAAAAATGGTCATAGTTTGTCAATAAATATCTTCCATAGTCACAGTCTATGCATGGAGTAAGTCATTATGAGGTTATTTCTGATAGTCAAATATAAATGATTATTAGGTATACAGTGGTGTAACTATGCCATGTTAAATAACTGTTTGATAATATTCAATATTATATCATATGAATATGTAAAGAAGGTAGATAATAACTGGCTATTTATAAGTAAAGTTGGTTACTTATATGCTTGGTTGTCGATGAGAGTGGCTATTATTGTAATTGATTTTTTTTTCGAACTATTTTTTCAGATTTTGAAAAAAGGAAGATTGACAATTGAAATTTGAATGAAATGAGATTGGTGGATAATTAAAAGAAAATGATGGCTGATGCTAAGAGTAATTAAGTGTGATATGTTTGTACAGTATCGTTCTTGTCTAAGACATAATATCAAGAGAAGTTGTATATTAATGAGGAGTTCATAGTTTAAGAGTGATACCATACAATCTACCAGTTATTAATGTCTAAATGAAGTAAGCAGTTTAAGAATAAAAACATAATTGAAAGTAATAGTGGTTGATATGAACTTAGTCTACTATGTATAAATCCATAGTAAAGATACATGTTAATATCATGATAGCAGATACTGTGAATAACATTGAATGTTATAGATTTAAAAGAGCAATAAAATTTCCTAGATGATATTACCATAATAAACCTAGAAATGTAAGTGTAAATATAAGATGCGACAGAGTGACCATTAATGGATCACACTAATCCAGTGTATTATGTTTATGTTGTTTACATTGTTTCTACATCCTACACATGAAAAGAGAACGGTCAAAATTCATTGACTTATTTATCACAAAATAAATAACTCTATCGTTTTTTATTTTATTCATTCGAAAATTGTGATTCACTCATATTTTGTAATTTAAAGAAAGAGATAGTGATATATATGTTTCAGAAACTTTTTAGAAAGAGCTCATTGTTTTGCTTACCTTGGTATAGTGGGTGGATTAAGAATAAATTGTTCATATAATCATTTGACATGGGAAATAATCTTTGCTCTACTCATGGGAAAAGATATCTTGGACAGTTTTCAGAGAACTATGAGAAATATTCTATGCCTAATAATACAAAATTATCTTCCAGAAAACAAGATCGATCCAAAAACAATCTACATGTTCTATATGCAGTGAAAGCCACAAATTTGAAAAATCTGCTTACGTTTTTCATTTCAAAGAAGACTTTGATAAATAGATTTATGTTAAACACTATACCATCTTTCTACTGTTTATGATCAAGCATTTATCCTATGAAAATATTTAAAATGATATTTAATTTAAATAATCTTAATTGTTTATGGAAGTATAATTTTGTAGATTTAACATTTGAAATTAGAGTCTCAGGGATGCTAATATGGTATCTCCTGAACTATAGTAGACTTAAAGTCTAACGTTGTTATGTTTTAAGTATTTAGTAAATTGGATTTCTCGTTTATTGAAAACCCATGCAAATAGTATATATTGTATTTATTATTAAATACATATTGATCTTTCACAACTTTACTTCTTTCAAAAAAATTACCAACGATCTACCAAAATCAGTTTTTAACAAAAAAGATCTTGTGAACATACGATATATTGTCTAATTATATTATATTGGACTCAACTATATCATAATCCAATGTTGATGATTATCCCTACGATCTATCAAACTGGATCAAAAACCTCTTTAAGTGAGCTTTGATATAAAATTTCCTACGTGGATTATCTGATAATCGACTACAAAAACTCACACATTCTAATTTGTATTATTGACAACATCATGTTCCAGAACATCAGATGTGTGAATTAAATAGTTACAACTTAATAAATAAGTACTCATAATGAACCTTTAGAGCCTAGCATAATTTTTCCATATTTGTAAGTTAGACAATCAACAAATATTATTGTTGTTGTTTATTTATTAAAACAGATCCCTTAGCACTGTGGTTTGAAATATAAATAAAGATCACTTCTCTGGAGAACTTGTAACAACTCTTTATTTATATATAATTACAACTGTAGATATCTACAAATTTTTGTAATGTTTTGGGTCGATCTTCTCATCACAAGATTGTATATTAAGGTATTCATGAAATCGGATATCTTGCTTCAATACTATTTACAAAACGTGAGGAATTAATACTAGCCAAATAGATATAAACAGAATATAAACAACACCCTAATACTTTTGATTCTCAAAAAACTTGTGTTTTAACAACAATACAGCCAAAACAGCATAAATTAACATATTCAAGACCTCAAGAACTATAAATATACGAAGGATTGATATGACATTTTCCAAACTTTCATGATGATTAAACCAAATGCAAGAATATTATTGATAAAGTGCTGTCAAAAAAACATAAAAGAAAAATCAAATATTCCCCATCATACCACTTTAAAAGTGTTCTTCAAAACAATTCAAAAAACAAATAAATACAACAGTAATATAATCATAGATTCATAAAAACGAATAGGTTCTTTCTGTTTTGTCTTATCCTTGTAGAAAAAAAAGATTGATAAAATGATTATCTAATGGTTGCTATTTTGTTTATTGACGTCTAATACAAGATTTTACAAAATATATTATCGATTGTTACGCGTCTGCAAATACTTTCATGTAATGGAACTTATCCTAATGTTAACATAATAATTTTATTGTTAATAAGATCCATAGGGATATAAGTAATTTATAAGATGATGTATTGTCGTGATAATGAAATACATTCACAGATATCTTTATACATTCATGTTGGGGATGATATCCGAAGGTAATTCTTACTATAGAATAAGGCCAGCAACAACAAGTTAAAAACTATATCTGAGTATAAGTAAGAGTGTTTGTATAACTAATACAGAAATTATATCAATTACAGAAAATGAATTCTTTGACAATTACCCATATACAATTCATATTTTTATTCTCAAGAGTACTATGGTATAGTTCATTTGAAAAAGTTATGACAACTACTGTTCTAGAAAATTAACTGTCAGAATGCAATGATCTTTCCAAACTCAAAAATAAGAGAGAAGGAAATACTTTCAGAAATAGTTTTGTGGATTGTGATTT